TTGAGAGATTGCAAAGCACCGAGAACGAAAGAATCTGAGAGGAAGTTAGACGCTCGCGAAGAGCGCGAACGGTGCATCCGTGGTTGTCAGGATGGAATCGCATTAAAGCCTTGGCGACCGCAGCTTCTTTACAATCTCGTCTAGACGCCACACCGCGCGACACATGGTACCTCGGTTTTTTTTTTATCGTTAGAATATCGATTCAAGGCCAGACGCATCGCGAAACAGACATGATCTTTCCGGGCGTGGGTCGCATTACATCGCCGTATTACTTCCTCCTCCTGCCTGCCTGTTCCTTCCGGATCTACACCTTTTATTCTTCATTCAACAATTTATCGGCTAATGTTTCCTCTCGAGACCACGCAATCTTGTTCGAGAACAAGGGCAATTATCGGTAAACTGTGCTCTGGTTATAACTTGGATCATTTTCGTTTCCATTGTCGCTTTCGTTGCCATCACAAATCATATTCATATTGATATTGAGGACTCCGTTACAACGCGATTGTACGTTACGTAACGGAAATTGATGCTTCGCGATGCGACGAACAAACATAAAAGAAAAGTTGGCGCGGAGAGTCAGGGCGACTTGGCGGATTAATTAAAGACGGGATTTATCAGAAACGATATACGTAGCCGCCACGTAGCCCAGGTTGCAATTATCGTTAACGCTCTGCTCCTTTACGAGCCGCTACCTCGTAAGTTACGAGTCGTAAATGTAAATGCGAGATTTGTAAAACGGCGCAGCTGCCCCTGCTGCCGGCCGGCGGGGGTTATTAGTGCACTTCGGGGGAAAGTACCGTGGATGTAATTAGAGGTGGTAAATTATTATTGCGGACCTGTGAGCCCGCATATACGCGCGCGTCCGCGTGCATCGCCGGTGCAATTTCTCTTTTTTTTTCTCCTCCCCTCCTTTCTTCTCTTTCTTTTTCTTCTCGCGCGCTCGAGCTGGTAACTCGACGCGTAAACTCACTTCACCCTCCCTCTTGACAACTTTATTGAGTTGAAACCCCTTTCAATCGCGCATTGCAACGATATACGAAGTGGATTAAATTGTAACTGCAATCACGATAAGCGCCGCTTCGCGAGGTGTCTTCCAGTTACCGTTTTATGCAAACGTATTGGAATAAACTGTAGCGGTCGATCGTATTTATGATACGCGATCGCAGTGCGGTGGCTATCTCCTTCCGCGTTTACATTTTATTTCGCTTATTTCAGCGTTTCCCGCAATAACTCGCCTAATCGGATATCAAACAGATGCACGGCAGCGCGCCGAGTACCGTGCCGCCGTCAACGGTGTCGGTCATCGCTGGCGCGGAATGTCAACTCGATCCGATTAAAAACTAGAAGCGAAGAAACAGAAGCGCGGTGTCGGGATGGGACGTGTCGCGAGACGCGCGTGAAACGTGAAGCGTGACGTGCGACTGTAGGAATCCAAAACGTTTCGAGCGTTCACAAGTCGCCGGGAGCCGGATTTGCTTCCGGTTCGATCGCAAATCAATTGTTCGATCGTAAATCGACATTCCGGCGATGATTCCCACACAAAGTGCGTGCAAAGAACGCTTTTTTGCTGAAGTATCCAAAAATAGTTAGATACAGATCTGAAAATAATTTTGTTAAACCATTGAAATAATTGTTAAGATATCAAAGGAGTAATGATAACCCAATCTATTAAGTTGAATAAGTATTTAGAATTTGTTATTTTTAATTTCTATCGAAATGTAAATCAATTCATTTAATTGATTGTAATTGAATTGTTTTTTTTTTTAAATAATATTACAATAATTTATACACTCAGTAAATAATGAATTATATTCAGATATTTAGGTCAAATTTAATATAATTTTATATATTTTTATATTTCTTGAGAAAATTATTTAACTCCTTTGTTTCAATTAAATTAATTGAGTCGAAATCCATATTGGATAATTTGACATTATAAATTTAATAGTAATCTCATACAAACTGATTAGTAGTTATATATAGTAGTTAAAATATTATTCTTGCAGCTGTTATCAATTATTAAAGAGTTTTGTATAATTATTTTGGTCCAACAAAATTATTTTCAGATCTGTATCTAGTTAAATTTTTAAATTCTCCAGCAAAACGGGCTTCTTTCCGTGTACCACTGGTAAATACAATTTCTTCATTAATAACTCATTAATCTGGAGAGACCCCATTTACATCTCGAGGTCATGAAATTAAACCTACAGACTTGTCTTAAATGGTAAGATCTCGTCGGTGCAAAACTCACTGATCAAGCATCATGATCTTGTTTTTTATCAGTTAATTAACCAAAAGTAATTAATAATATCAAGTAGTTTTACTCATAAACGCTAATTTTTTATTGATAATACTTTCAATATTATGACTCAATTTCCATCAAAATATCGTAATTATTTCATAAATTCTGATTTATATTTTTCTTCGCTAAAGAAACTATCTAATTTCTCATTTTCGTTCATCGAGACAAATAAATTTATCAATATTTTTCCAAATTTATATCAAACGATAAAACAAACATTGAAATAAAATACATCAGTACACGATAGAATTTGATACTGCATCCATGTTAACAGCCGGAAAACCGGTGCGCCAGTTGTCGCGAAATCGGATTCCGATTACGGAGCGATCGAAATGTTACTAATCCAAAGCCGATTACAGTCTATGGAATTCTTGCGTCAATATTCCGACGAATGAAGATGACGGTTGCACGTTGGAATGACGGACACCTGTGAATAGCTCGATGTAGAATGACGCCATTAATGTTAGATTTCAATCCTCATCCCGATATATAATATCATTCGAGATTGGACAGAATTAACGGCGATATTAGGACCATAATTCTTCAATTTTAATAATGGATAAATCATCAGATTCTCAATTAAAGACCTCAATTATTGAAATTTTACGATAATTCACCGTAAATAATTTAATTGTATTTACAGGCGCAGGGGTTCTTTACAGGGACGGGGACGAAAGTCGAGGAAAATGAAGTCGACGCCTTTCTACAGCTCACGTCGAGTAACGATTACTCTTTAAAGAAGCTCTTTGTAGCGGTTGTTTGTCTTTCGGCACACCTCTACACGCAATACTGCCGGCGTGCCGCAGGACAGGAAGAGAGAAATGGGAGACAAGACACGGCGAGGAGAAAGAACGGAGAGATCCTCGGATAATTCTGGATAACGGTTTTCGCGCCGCTAAACCGTCGTCGAATTACAAAGTAACCGACGCTCGTTAGCCGTATTAGCATTAATTAACGACGGACGGCCGAGCGCACCTGTGTGCCGAGAATCGCGTACCTCGTCACGCTTTTGTCCGACGCACCGCCTTATTATTGAAAATACGCGATACCGACGTTGAGCAATTAGAAATCGCGACGACAGTTCGCGATCTGTCGTCGATCAGGCGGTCGTCGGGAAGAGAATTCATCGGCACGCGATTAGCTGCGTGCAAACGTGACGTCGAGATTCACCGTTTGAAAAGTGCCGTGCGAACGGGAGATGTTAAACTTTCTTCTATTGACGCCTATGGCCGATTAGACCCCCTTCATCGGTAATATCCTCGCGCCGATCGGTGGAATCCCAGCTTCGTCGTTTCGAAATTGCGTAGTAAAGTCCGGGAAACCTGTCCGCGATCCACACGGGAACACTTGTGGATCTTTACACACCGTCGCTCAACTCGTAACTATTAACCCGTCGATGTTACCTATCCGGTACCTTACGAGAATATTATACGCGTGGTGTAATTTAGAATGCTAATTAATACCCCGGCCATTACACGACTAAATTCGAGCGGTGTAACGTAAAAGCAGCGATTTAGCCACCGGCAATTTTTTATTCATCGTGTCAAACAACTCGTGCATTATGCTTAATGTGATCAAACATCTTTGGATCCGAAGCAGGACAATTTTATGTTGGAAAGGAAAATATATGGATGTAAAGATAAACGTAATTTATTTTTAAGAAACCTTGTTAGATGGTAATCCAAATTCTTTAATTAAAAATGACATTTAATTATTTTTAATTTCCATGTATTAAAATGTAAAAATCGAACCACATTTGTAATTAATTTCAAATAAACAATGTCCATATTAACGTGTGCACTTTGTAAATAAACTAAATTTAAATCAAATTTAACTTACGTTTTCTTGTAACTCCATTGTTTTAATTAAATTAATGACATATTAAGGAGCAATGGTGATCTATAATATTCCTGATTTTTTCATATAATTTGACATGAATTTAACAGTGAATACAATTATTTATATTTTGACATATTTAATGAGATAACTAAAAAAAAAAAAAAAAAAAAAAACAACCAAAGCAGGACATCTGATCACATTAATTATGCTTGCAAACAGTTTTTACAGTTTTGTGTCAGGGATTAGTATGCGTGTTTAATGAAAAACACTTGTTCGTACGTAGAACCGTTCGAAGTCGTCGATATATCGACAGTGGGAACCGGGCCAAGATCATCGGTTGGTCGGCCCGTGACATCAATCTTTGCCACTGGCTGCGACGTACACGCACTCACGCATTCATGCATGTACGTGTACACACACGGTACATGTCCGTACACCGCTACCTACGTGCACGTACACGACTGCTTATACGCCGTGCAAATTGCGCAGCAGCTCACCGATTGCACCATCTATGGCAACGGAATTGTCGCGACGTCACGGAATTGCGCGCAACTAGAGAAAGAAGGGCGACCCAGTCGGCGACGAGAAACTTTCCGCTCTGGTCGTAGAATTCTCAAAGCACGATTGTTGTGTGACGTTATGCGATTTCACCGCGACCTCAGTGTTTTCTGCGTCGCACTTAATATGCCACCGAATATTTCAGATTATTAGATGCAACGTCGTAATTCCACGTTATCAGACTCAATCGAGTGGAAGAATTGCGAGAAAAATTATTTTTTCATCTCCGGCCTAAAAATAAACTGTAAATTATCCACGAGGATCTTTTTAAACAAAGAATCTATGATAAATCAGTAAATTAATTAATTAATTTTATCCTTTAATCAAGATAATGAAAATTTACTTGGGAATTCATTTGGGTGTTTTTATACGCCAGCGGTGAGAAAATGTAAATTATTGTAAACAAACGTTTTCTTCCTTTTTAAACGTATCTTTTTCTTTTTTAATAAATATTCTTTACGAACTTTTAAACAATGCAATTTCATAAAAATTAAAGTATTAATTAAAATTTCTATTTTTTTTAGAAATATTGTCATAAACATGTTTATATTTCGTTTAATATTTGTTTCGTTTCTATTTACTTTTTTCTAAAAATTGTGAATAAATTCATATCCATAATGTTCTTAAATAAACAACGCCAATAAAATCAATAATATGTACAACATATTATTAATGACAGTGATTTTAATTGGAGTGCAAAAACACTTTGTGTGATCGTTTAAGTAAAAAGAAATGAGATGATTACTCTCAGGTTATTATTTACTGACTCGCCCACGTACAGTAAACAATTGTATAAGTTTCATTCCTGAAAGGAAACATTGTCATTCCCTAGAAAACCCCGTGCGATAAGAAACCTTTTAAGGAATGCTTCGCTCATGAACGTCGGATGTTAATAATGTCATTTTTCTTAGGGAATAAAAACGGAGAGAAGACTGAGAGAAGGCGGAAAACCGGAGGGACGAGAAGAGCACAATGAAAAAGAGAAGCGAAGCAAACAGGTAGAGAAGAAGTGGCGTAGCTTGATTAGACCAAGAATTACGGAAGCTCTTTGAGCGCAGGGAGATTATGTAAGGCCGTTGTAGCACCGTAAAAACTGGGCGCAATCGCAACGACTGGCGCCTCCTAATTGGCGTGCCTACGCCACGTTATGGCGCGATAATAATTGTTTCTTGACGTTTCGTAATAGCGGCTTACGCTTTTTTCCTCTCCGTTTTCTCCTCTCGACCCTCCTCCTGCTTCTCCTCATCCACCTCATTCCTCCTCGTAACTCTCCCCTTCCCTTCCACTCTCATCCGCGAGGAAGATTGGCGCGAAATATTGCACTACGGCGCGCCATAATTTAATTTCTATTAAATTTTATGATTGCGGCGAAAGAGGCCACGATCGTTCCCCGACGTAACCCGAAACTTTGCAAAGTTCCGCGGGGATGGCTGGAATTATAATTAAACAGGCAAGGTGCCGTCGGTGCGTTAGTCAGGCGCAATTAGAATCAACGAAACCTCGTTCCACTTACATATTTTTTCAGAGAAAAGTATACATATACATACAGAGCCAACATACCAAATTCATTGCTCTCCAAGAATGTACTACCTGGCGATTACCTGGAGCCGACTTTTTTTTTCCTCTTCGACAGTTTCGTGCCAACTTTTATCTCGTCGCAGGTTCTGAATTTTCAATAACGCACATTTCCCTACTCAATCAAAACCGAAAGTTTAAGCTATAGTGTGACATTATTTATTCATAATATCCTTAAGATCGATGTTATATATTTATATATTCCTGTAGCTCAATTCTTCAAAATCTCTTAATTATTTAAAAGAATATGCAGTGAATCTAGGACGTTCTTAATCCCGCATGCAAGAAAACGCTGCATTTTAAAGAAAGGAGGGTAGATGCGCCATGGTAGGGTTATTACAAATTTAATCCCTGTGAAAATTTAAATAGTCTACCGTGCTGGCACGATGTAAGATCTCCTGTTAAACCCGGAAGATCTCGAAATGGACGAGCTTACGCAACGTAAAAAAAACGAAAACAATATAAATGTAAATGTCTAATGAGATTTTTTTCTCCCGTGCAACGGATTAGTTATTTTACCTTCCTGTTTTACACAAATTAAATATCTAGACGTTTACAACAATTGCTTAAGGCAAGATAATGATTCGTTCGCTTTATAACTCATGACCACGTTTCCAGGCATTCTGCCTCTTAAACTAATGACTAATTAGAGTATTATAGTTTATGAGATTAAGAAATCGATAACGCTACTCGACAATGATTTTGTTAATTGAGTAATTTTGATTGCTTGTTGTGTATTTTTAAACGCTGATTCAGAAAATGAGAGATTAAAATTTATTCTACAAGCTCGAATTTTTTTTAAAAACATACATTTTGCTAACAAGAACTAACAAGAAAGATGTATAGGGTCTTTTTCTTAATTAAAATAATTTTTTTTTGTAGCCTTTGTTATATAATGAATAAAAAATCATATTGAATTCAGTAGCTATTCTTTATGAATTATTTTTTATTTATGCCTCAGCAGAAGAAATAAGTACAGACATTTTTATATGTTATAATAAAAAAATCTGCTCTCCTCTTAAATTTGATAAACAAATTTGAAATCAATGCACAAAATATTAGAAGAAATATCTTATCGAATCAATATTAAAAAAGTAAAATTTTGTCGACCAATGTATTATATTATCGGAAAATATCAATTTAAAATAAAAATTTATCAATACATGTTATTCAAAAACTCTATTTTCCTCAAAATAAATTTAGCAAATAGATTTTAAATTCGTAAAAAAAAAAAATACTAATCTTATCAATTTGACATAAAAAAAAATAAAATTTTAGTGTAATTCGAAGTGTAATTTTACAAATTATCCGAGATGTAAACATGTATTATCTCAGATCGCACATTCTCTGGAATGACATGGATCAATCAGAAAGTGCATAACGGGAAAGTTAATTACTCGAAGGTATGACGTAATGCAGACAAGGCACCCGCATTCACGTCCCCTGTACATCGTTCACAATTTTCCGGCACAATGCTAGGCACACATGTGACAGGCTTATTAGCAGCCACGTGTATACCCGCACGGATCTACGTACATACAGCAGCAGCAAGGTAGGGCACGTACTTCAAGGCACCGCGCCATTTCCACGAGGCTTTGTTTATCGCACGGCTCGTCGGGGCGAGGATAATGGACCGATCGAACGGATGGAGGGACATTTAGGTTACGCAACTCGTGATGCGTTCGATTTTTTCAAGGACGGCGAGCAAGACGGCTTAAACGCTGCCTTGAGCTAAACGGCTCTTCTTTTGTCATCTCATCGAGAAATATCGGGCCAATTAGAAGACTATAGTGTTCTTTTTCTCAAGGGACATGGCACGTTTCGAGTTCTGAGGCGACTGTCGCGTAACTGAATGATTTGTAATTAAGTCCTTTGTCAAACCAGATATAAGCAGCATAATTTTAAAGTGATGATAAAACTGCTTATATGTGTGTCTCTCATATTTAAATTTTTTAGAAAAGAAGCATGTTTCTATAAAACATGTTCCTCATTTAATAATCTCTTTATCATAATTAAGTCATTTATTAAGTCTATAATCTTTAAAAAAATTTCTGCCGTTTTTATCTATTATTTTATGTTAAAGGAATGTCTCCGTAATGAAAGCTCTCAAATTAAATTTCTGCTGCGTTTAATGTTTACGTGAAATTAACTAAAGAGTAAAGTGTTGTTATTTATTTTTTCACAACAATTTCTTTAACATCCCATACTGATACAGGAGAAGAGTCATTAATTCCGCACGAGTAGGTCGAAGAAAAGGGTTGGACTATATTTAGAACTAACCGATAGTGGATAAAAATAATTCGTGTAACATAATACGCGTATAAATACGATAATAACACGTGCGCCAAGGCAGGCGGAGAATCGGACTGAAAATGACGTTCTTACCGAAGATCCTCCGCTTCCATTGGTGATCGATTTTATCTGATATTCGTGGGAGGAGACATTATATCGACGAGGGACGCGTTTCTTTCAAGTCTCGCCATATGGCCCACGACTTCAGGGAATAATCTGGGGACGCCGGTCGGTTTAGATACGATAGGACGCGATAAAATCGCCTAGGCCACGAATTTAAATCAACAAGACAATTTCTCACTCGAAAAAATCCCAGTCGACGAGACGTGTACGAATCATTCGAGTATATCTACTGACGACTCATTAAAGGAGGACGCCTTCGAGGATTGTTCCCCTTCTTATCGTTATCGATAAACTCTGATGACGGATGTACGAATGGTTCGATAAGAGAAATTATCGAACAACAATTCGGCGTGTGCACCAACTAACATGTCTCTGAGACCCAGAGAGATTCGATGTTTGATGCAAGGGAGATGTTTTCCTAGTGGAGCATTTCAGTCGAATCTCCAACAGTATCTTGTTCAAATTTGCATTATGTAATATCCCGTTGCCGATAGCTTTAATCTTTGAATTATTAGTGACATAGGTATACGAAGTTTACTTATGGACTCGATTTTCCCTAAAATACATATATCTTTGGTAGACCAGATATGTTACTTCATTTACTCAAGATTATTATTTTTTTCGATGATTAATAAATCATGTTAAAAATGTTCTGAAAATTAATAAAATTATCTCGTGAACTTTATCATGTAAATAGATATATAAAAGAAATTGTGAATATACATACTATTTGGCGCGTTTGATAGCGCGTTTCATCTCAGAAACTGCGTGAAAATCTCGTAGTTACGTTCAAAGTCTCAGACTAAAATTTAGTCAGCCTTCATAATTAGGATAACAATGTTTGAAGTTGCAGGCGCGCAAATTAACTTTCGTATGTAACGATCTCTCCCTATTTAATATTGTTAGTTTAAAAGTTTCGCACTTTGCGGAGGAAAGTTTGGAGCGACCCGAGTACAACCGAGTCGGCTCGACGCAAGGATTTCATTTTTGCAATAACAGACTTTTATACGAGCGTTAAGAAGCGTCAGAGTGAATAAAAATGCGTCGAGTAATTTCAGATTATTTCGTCCTAGCCAGGAAAGAAGAGAGAGTCCTGAGAGTGGAATCGCGGAGGCTGAAGAACGGATTGAAGAGCCTAAGACGGGGATTGAAAGTCCTAACTATAGAGGATTTTCCAGATTGGCTCGGCGAGATTATAAAGAAAAGAGAGACGAGGGACGTGTGCAAATTCTCCGGTGCACGGCCGCAGCTGCGAAATCAACGTTTGCACCTGCTCGGTGCTGGAGATACAAGCGAGGAGAAGCCCCCGAGGCCGAAACTCGATTGCGCAAGGAGACTTGACATTGTGCATTGTCCATTGAATATATATTTGAAAGGTACCCAGATGCGAGCCAGCAACGGAATTCAAGAACTCCAAACATTGGCTCATGTGTGTTTGCAAATAATCTGATTTTCATTCAACAATCTCTTATACGCTACAAAGTTTTTATATTAACAGCAATACAAATATAAAATTACATATCGTTTTAAATTACTTTTAAAGCGAAAATTTGTTGATTAAATTTAATATACTTATTATTTTTTTTAATATTGTAATATTGATCGATGGAATTATATATTTTATTATAAATATTTTTATGTAATAAGAAAGATTTGAAATATTTTACGTCAAAATTGTAAGTAAAAAATATTGCGTCCTATTGTTCCTTTTATTTCGGATGTTTAGATTAAATGAGCAATAAACTGGAATCGAAACAGATGGTGCATCACGCACGTTGTATCAAACATTAATTCTCTCCGCTGTCAGACTTGGAAAGCTTTTAAAGACCGGACGTGGTTATAGCTTTCCGAGAGTGCGCATCGTATTCGAGAGAGATCTTGAATAAATTTTGCTAAACTACGACAATAAAGTTTGATGTACTACGATTACGATTGTCGCGCTATTTCCGAGAAACATCACATTCTCATAAGATGAGGGTTCTATTTAATAGGACGTCGAAATACACACA